AACCATGAAGCCTCCGTGGTCTAATGGTTATGACGCTCGCCTTGACAGCGAGAGGTCGCAGGTTCGAGTCCCGCCAGAGGAATTTTATTACACAATTTCTTTATTCATTTATTTACAAGACTACATTCGTTGAGAGCTATGCTACACGATGTATTATGTCCTTTATTCGAACACATGTCAAAAGCTGCCCACACTCATCAGGTACAAAAACATAGCGAGTAGTCCTCAATTGTTATTCTTTGAAAAAATATGTTTCCATGCATTTAATTGACATTATTTCTATGTATTTTGTTTTCATTCATTCTGTCATCAAACAAACGTAAAAAAAGTTTTCAGTATAATTTTGTTTAAGCTTATAAATCTCAATAGCCATAATTTGTTTGCATATCAATAACAAATGAGCGGACAGTTCAACTATTTGGGAGTGATCTTCCCACTACATTGCCAATGTAATTGTTGGTTAAAATTCAATGAAGCCATACGATCGGACGTATATGACGTCACAGAGCTCGAAATATGGCAAGTTAGCACAGGGCTCGTGCATAAAACCGATTTTCAAACGTAAAAAAAGTTCGTTATTTTAAGTTGGCGGGCAATGGTCCATTTTTTAAAGTTTTTTTCTCATAAGATGAATTCATTAACGCAACAGTTTTGTAATGACTTAAAAATTAAATTAAGTTAAATATTTGATTATTAACATAATATTTTATTTCTGTGAAGGATTCTGTCCAGATTGGTCAGCGTTCGAACGTTATACACAAATTCACTTGCGCAATTTTTTCTTTTGTATTTAGAATAAAAATATATACTATAGTTTTATCAATAATTTTTAAATACAGTAGGCTAATTCCCTAATTGTGAGCGACGATGATAGGTCTATTTTTATTATATTATCAAATATATTTATATCGATATCCATGGTTGTTGTCTCTTTATGCAAAACAGCAATAAGAAATGAATGTGCTGACACATTCGCATCAACGCCGACGTTCGTCGGGACGCGGTTCCAAACGCGAAGAGGGCACGGATGATCCCAACTACCACCACCAACAGACGCGGTGTCACGTCGTCTGCCAGATTTGGATTCGTCAGCCAAGTACCGTTGAGGCAGGCTGCCGTCAGCCCGGATTTTAATGAACAGACCACCGACAATTGATCGCGGTTCCAGAAAAAACGTCTTTATTAAAAAATAAATAAAAATTTGAAAAAAATAAATAAATCTTTCTATGCTTAAACATTTATGATGCAATATTTTTATATCATTGTGAAATAAAACCTGCATTAATTTTATATTTATATATATTTATACATATTTATATATTTATATATATATATATATAATTTATTATTATTATTATTATTATTATTATTTTTATTATTCTACAAAACTACTTACCTTCTTCAAATACTTTTCTGGCATTATCGAGCTTAAGCGTCATCAATATTCCTTTGAATTTTTCTATTTCTTTTTCACAAATTATCAGCCTGTGTTCTAAATCGCTGATCATACTCCAGCTATCAACATAGTCCTTGTTTGGAATATTAATATTCCCATCGATTGCTTCTATGTCTTCATTATTCAATTCGAATCCAAACATTACGATTTTTTGCCTGAGAGGTGAGAACCTTGAAAAAGGCCTATCAACATCAATAGGCCTAATATTTGGGAGTGACGGTAACATTTCCTTAATTTCTTCCTCCAGTCCATTTTGCTTAGTGAGTTCTATGGTTTCATAAAGTAAAGTAAGGTCAGTCCGACTCAGACAACCAGCACCATGCAATAAATTCAAAATATCAATCGTTCTTGTAGCGTTGAACAAATTATAAGTTGCTAAATGGTCTTTGAACACAACTTTTAGCATACTGACTAATTTATGGCGGTCATACCATCTGGAAACAACTGCTCTGATATCGTTAAACTTTTCTTGAGATATTCCTATAAAATGAAATATTTTGATAATGAATATATATTATTTAATGCTTCTTATTTTTTATAAGAAATGATTTCAGGAATAATACGTAAACAAGGATCATGTTAAAACCAGATCAATAAGACAATAAAGAAGAGTTTCAACGAATGTTTTAAAAGGGGTCTTCATCCGCATCCATATCTCTATTTAAAAGCAGCAGTGACAACTTGAGACCGTCGTACGACCGTCCACGGCGATTTCAACTCCACTCACCGAAATAACATTCTCATGATTCTGAAGAGAGCGCGTCGTTGTGGCATTTGGTCCTTTCGTAAACCCGCCTGGCTCAAAATTATGTAGTTTCTTATATAGGCATGCGCTAGAATTTCGAGTCGTATACCCAAGATTGTGAAAAGAAACTCAATCTATGATGAGTATTTCCTCCATGGACAGAAAGTGTATTGATTACACACACGACGTAATTATCATTACAAAGGACCTAACGTAGGCATGCTTTAATTGTTATAGGGCCTATAACCAAAGCAGTTGCTATGCTAGCCTAAGCCTTTTTTATTATAAAGTTTAATCTTAATCTTAAATCTAAGGGCGCATTATTTTTCCCAAACAGTTAAGGCATAAATTACAGAGGCCGCTACTTAAGGTAATTTAGCTGAACTAATAACATAAATAATATGCATAATTGACTCCCCCACCCCCGTCACTTGAGTCCCGAGCAGTGTTCGATGCTTTTGGAATATAGAAGCTACGGCGTAGGCCAAAACATCTTGATAGTTGGTTGAAACAGCAGTGTAGTCGACACAGCGAAAATTCATGAAATATTAGTATTGTAATTATAATATCCAAATATGCGTGACTTACGTACAGCATGGTCTTTGAAAGTATAAAAAGCAGCTCTGAATCTGGTCAGTCAGTTAGTTGAGTAGTGTGGAATAAGCAACACATACTAATTGCAATCATAATACTACTGATACTGGACGATACAAACGTTTAGAAATGCTCAGACACAGGTATTAAGACAAATCCATGTATTGTTTTAATGTTGGTTTCGTACTGTTATTAAAGGCGCTCTACCCAATTAAAAATGGAATGGCTTATTTAAAATTATTAAAATGAGACTTTTACTAATTTACAGACGGTTCTAAAAAAAAAAAAAAAAAAAAAAAAAACGCTCACTATCTGTTGGGGGATTTTTTCTCATAAAAAGTAAGTTAACCGTGTTCGAAGTACCCGTAATAAGTTTGTCTCCGAGCATTTTTATATATATCCTGCAGAGTCAGTACTACAATTGGTGTTATATGGAGAGTAATGTATAACCGGAAATGGTCTGCAGTCAGTTGATTGTTATCATGCGCCAGTGATGGAGTATATAGTACAGCATTATGAAACTATTAATGTAGTCCTAATGAACGAATAAAGTTTGGAGTTTGTCGGGTAGTGAAATGATTATTCTACATTTTTAAGTACTCCCTAAATTCATAAGTTTAAGCTAAATTACGGTGATTAATTTAATTAGCAAAGATATAGAGACAATTATTTCGAAATTCCCTCTTACCAAGAGGGCATGCAAATGCTTGTGAAAATGAGTACGCCGAGGTACTCATTTTCACAAAGAAATACACACAACTGGTTAGCTAACAATATGCCAATGTTACATGAACACTTGGGAAGGAAGGTGCAATCACGTTGTTGCCTAGCAAACGTCTGTACTTTATGGAGACTGCTGATGTATTGTTTAGTGGTGGACGATGAGGAATAATGCTAATAAGACTAGGCCTAGGATATATTTTCTGAGAGGGGGAGGCTAAGTTGTCCGACGGGGGGATAAGGGGTTGAGAGGGATTTCCCCCTCCCAAATGAGATTTTTTTTTTTAAAGAATATCAACCTCTACCTGGCCGAAAATGGCACTCTCAGACTGTGACAGACATTGTGTTGGCTTGGTGTGGGCCTATTTTTAGAAGTTTATGGTCTGACTGTCCGACGAGCTCTGTCCGGCAGGCGATTTTTTTTTCCGTACGAAACATTTGCATGAAACTTCACTCGGGCCATCTCGGATTGACTCGAGTGAGTACGATACGAGGAACAAGAGCAGACACTTCGCATTGTCGTGACGCTCGAGTTTAACTATTATTGCTCTTTCTATGTTTACCTACGGTAGGCCTATGAAATTGCACGGACTGATGTGATGTACGTCACTGTGTAACTAACTGTGACCTTCTTGGATGTTATTAAATGTTAGTATATTATCTACAACAACAACAGCTAGTACCTCCTGTTATACAGTGTAGATAGGTACAGTTATACCAAA